TTTTAATCATGTTCTATTGTTAAGGAAATAATAAGCTTCTCAATGATCAAAATTAGTGTTTGTCAAACTGCTATATATCCAATGAAATTTTTCTGATAAAGTGCGGGGTTCAGGTTTTTTGAAATTTTTATATTTTTGTCAAATGTTCAAAGTAAATATTTTGTCAAAATTTTATGAAAATTAAACGAGCCAAATTAATTGCAGTCAAGGTGTTTGGTACCACCTTAAGATCAGTGAAAAGTCTTGAACAAGGAAAATATTACGGATTGCAACTTAGACACACTTAACAAGTTATCTGTGACAATGATCCAAGAAGCACAACTTAAATGACCATTTGAGCATGAAAAATAGGTCAAAGCCAAATAATATGTCAGCCAGATATATATTCCTTAACCAAAAACCATATTAAAAATATTGTTGACCTGTAATGTATAGTTTTTGGAGAACAGACCTCGCCTTGATATTATACTGAATATGCATGGAATTTTTGTTACTGAATGTTGTGCAATCCCGACAATTAATCACTCATACTGAAACTTAAAGTACTGGTAACCACTGGAACTCAAAATTGAAGTCAAGGCTACATGATATGTTATACATGTCTCAATGAGACCTCAACCGAACCACCCAAATAACCAAAATACATTTTGAGGGCATACAGTCTTCAATAACATGTTATAAATCATAGTTATAGTCTCTAAATCATCCTCAGACTTATAAAGGTTGTGATGAATTTTAGACAGACACAATCAAAGATCTGCTATATACACCAAACTCCCATACTAGCATACAACAACTACTGAAAAGCTTCCTGGGTTGTTTGACATATAATCTTTGCATTCAATCCACATACCAAATATTGTTAATCTTCAATGGATCGCACAAGTAACAAACCTGAAGCATGATATTGGGTCAACTTAAATTGTCAAAACAACTATTTATACCTCAAAAGCATAAACATAAATATTAAATATTAAAGGACTTCTACCTTAAATCTTAACCCAACTACTAGAGTGGGAAACTAAGGGGAAAGGCCAAATAACACAAGTCATATCAAACGGACATATTCTCTAAGCAGCCAATCCCCAATACTAAATATTGTTGATCTATCACGAGTAGTTACAGAGGAAAAGATCTTATCCTGAATACTTGACATAACCACCTGGTCCAGAAAACGGGATCGAGGCCATATCATGCAAGACAGACAAACCAGTCCACATACTAAATAATGATGACCTATTATTAAGTCTGATTAACTGATCGAGAAACAGACCAGATACTGAAAACTAAACAATAGAGTATGTAAAGAGATCATAATCAGTGGTAATGACTGGATGGCAAGGTCTCATCATGAACAACCTGTAAGCATTTTCTGTCAATCTAATTGACAATAAAGACCAGATATACCTAACTGACAGTAGGAATCAGATGTTGCAGATTGTTAATGCTGTCGTCTGTCCCTGTTGCTGCCAGAATATTAGTAATAATTTCTTGTGTATCACCACTTGAGTTGGTCAATATAAAACTGCAATGACATACCATGACTTTGAAGAACTAATTAACATTGCACTTTCAAATTAGTGCACTTTCCTGTAAATTTCCTATGTCACTTACTCCAATTTACCTTTAGTCAACCGGTGTATCTCATTATAAACAAGCATCCTGAGAGAATTGCATAGCAATACATAGTCCCCTACTGGTTAAAAATTCATTGTACTGGAACAAAATGCTAACTTGATCATTCTGTAACTTGTCATGGTGTAAGCTATATAACAAATATCAAGTCAATATCTTCAAGCATGACAAAATGTGTAGAAAACTGATTATTTAAGTAAATTTTCTATGTCCAAGGACCATAACTCTGCACAAAATCATCAGACTAGATCAAAATTCGAACTTGATCTGTAACTTTTCATGATAAATCTATATACTAATTATCAATTCAATATCTTCAAACATGACGAAAAAAAGTGTGGAAAACTGATTATTTGAGTGAATTTTCTAAGTCCAAGGACCATAACTCTGCACAAAATCATCAGACTGGAACACAATTCGAACTTGATCTGTAACTTTTCATGATAAAACTATATACTAATTATCAAAGCAATATCTTCAAGCATGACGCAAAAAAGTGTGGAAAACTGATTATTTGAGTGAATTTTCTAAGTCCAAGGACCATAACTCTGCATAAAATCATCAGACCAGAATAAAATTCGAACTTGATCTGTAACTTTTCATGATAAATCTATATACTAATTATCAATTCAATATCTTCAAACATGACGAAAAAAAGTGTGGAAAACTGATTATTTGAGTGAATTTTCTAAGTCCAAGGACCATAACTCTGCACAAAATCATCAGACTGGAACACAATTCGAACTTGATCTGTAACTTTTCATGATAAAACTATATACTAATTATCAAAGCAATATCTTCAAGCATGACGCAAAAAAGTGTGGAAAACTGATTATTTGAGTGAATTTTCTAAGTCCAAGGACCATAACTCTGCATAAAATCATCAGACCAGAATAAAATTCGAAATTGATCTGTAACTTGTCATTATAAAACAATACACCAAATATCAAATCAATATCTTCAAGCACGAAGAAAAAAAGTGTGGAAAACTGATTAGCCGGACTGACGGATGGACAGACAGACAGATGGACGGCGTGCAAACCTTAAGTCCCCTTCGACTTCGTCGGTAGGGGACTAAAAACAACTCGAGATTGGTGTATTGATATACTATCTGTGACTAGAACTTACAAAATGGTCAGTAAATTACCAAAGATGTAAGTAACCTTTAAGAATCAGGGCTGATATGCACAAGAGTGGACACGCTGAAATGTCTCGCCTTCTTTACTAACCATTGATATTATGTTGATAGTCCTAAATGAAAGCTTTACTACAACTATTACATAAACTTAACATGATCCAAGAAAATGAAGTCAAGGTCATATAAACCAAACAAGAAATACATGTACACCTTACAATCATTCAATACACTAAATATAGTTGACCTATTGCTTATAGTTTCTAAGAAACAGACTTAACCAAGAAAACTAAACATTGACCAATGAATCGTGAAAATGAGGTCAAAGTCAGATGAACCATGCCAGGCAGACATGAACAGCTTACAATCCTTCCATACAACAAATATAGCTGACCTATTGCTTATAGTTTAAGAAAAACAGACTGAAACACATAAACTTAACACTGAGCAATGAACTGTGAAAATGAGGTCAAGGTCAAATAAAACCTGCGAGACTGACATGTACATCATAGAATATTTCCATACACCAAATATAGTTGACTTATTGCATAATAGTATAAGAAAAAAGACCAAAACTCAAAAACTTAACTTTGACCACTGAACCATGAAAATGAGGTCAAAGTCAGATGACACCTGCCAGTTGGACATGTACACCTTACAATCATTCCATACACCAAATATAGTAGACCTATTGGATAAAGTATAAGAAAAACGGACCAAAACACAAAAACTTAACTATAACCACTGAACCATGAAAATGAGGTCAAGGTCAGATGACACCTGCCAGTTGGACATGTACACCTTACAATCATTCCATACACCAAATATAGTAGACCTATTGGATAAAGTATAAGAAAAACGGACCAAAACACAAAAACTTAACTATAACCACTGAACCATGAAAATGAGGTCAAGGTCAGATGACACCTGCCAGTTGGACATGTACACCTTACAATCATTCCATACACCAAATATAATAGACCTATTGCATACAGTATAAGAAAAACAGATCAAAACACAAAAACTTAACTATAACCACTGAACCATGAAAATGAGGTCAAGGTCAGATGACACCTGCCAGTTGGACATGTACACCTTACAGTCCTTCCATACACCAAATATACTAGACCTATTGCTTATAGTATCTGAGATATGGACTTGACCACCAAAACTTAACCTTGTTCACTGATCCATGAAATGAGGTCGAGGTCAAGTGAAAACTGTCTGACAGGCATGAGGACCTTGCAAGGTACGCACATACTAAATATAGTTATCCTATTACTTATAATAAGAGAGAATTTAACATTACAAATAATCTGAACTTTTTTTTCAAGTAGTCACTGAACCATGAAAATGAGGTCAAGGAAATTGGACATGTGACTGACGGAAACTTCGTAACATGAGGCATCCATATACAAAGTATGAAGCATCCAGGTCTTCCACCTTCTAAAATATAAAGCTTTTAAGAAGTTAGCTAACGCCGCCGCCGCCGCCGGATCGCTATCCCTATGTCGAGCTTTCTGCGACAAAAGTCGCAGGCTCGACACTAAAACTACTTAAGTTAAGATTTGTTCTGAACGGACATATTTTTCTACATGTCCTACGATAAATTAATACTACGATTGAATATCTTAACTTAAGTGGTTTTATGCATATCAGCCCAGTACTATAACAGACCATGTGACTACTAAAATTCCCTATTATGTAAGTCAATAATTATTAAACACTTCTTCATTATACAAATTTCTGGGCATACTCATACACAGCATATAATTCCCATATTTCCACATTTGAATTAGACTTGGTGCGACAAAGGAAGTTCAACATTCAACATGATAATCTCTAATATCACCACATTGTTCCTTGGAGTTTGGTATTTTTGTTATTATTTTACTTTTTTCATAACTTCATTATGATACAGACATCTTCCATACCTTTTCCACACTTATAACTGTAGACCATAAACTTAAAGTTACTAAAAACAATTACTGAACATGTTGGACAAGGATTATCTTCCTTTATGGTCATCCTTAAGTGGTTTCTGGAACTGCATAAAGTTTCATCAATATCTGTCTGGCCATTTAGGAGGAGTTGTGCTGACAAGGTACATTGACAGATACATGAACAGATAGGTATATTAATATATACCCCCAAAATCTTTATTTTTTTGGTATAATTATCAATCATGTTTGTGCGGGTTAAAACTATCAACCATGAAATATAAGAAAACTTTTCACAGAAAATTATTTAATAATAGACTTTAAATAACATAATCAATATCATCACTTTTAAAATATCTATACAATTTATTTATGAATAAAATTCTTAAAACCTTTCCCAGTTACATATAAATATAAATTACATAGCAAATAAACAAAGGAATATCAAATTAAAGGTAGTATGGAAGTCTTTAGCCATCTTGGATTGCAAATGACAGCAAATGATTGGTCCAGATTTTTAGGAAATGAGCAAATTCATGTAGGAGTGCCATTTATTTTGATGCTATTCATTTAACTGGAGAAGCTTATGTGATTTTATCCAATGATAACAACTTTTTTTATCAAATACAGAAGAAAATTGATTAAAAGAAATAAACTTTACTTTATAAAGGGAGATTATCTAGTTTTTATGAAGGAATGTACAGTTAATTTACCTATTTTGTTATGTAGCAAGAAATCAAATCTTTTTATTTTCTGAAAGCATTTGATTATAGCTACCTTGAATTTCTTATATTTTATCTTGAAATTTTTAAAATTTAGTTTGTTTTATTTTCAGATTATTTTGCTTTCTCCATGTGCAATCCTTTAAAATAAATCAATTTTGCACAATTTGTAGCTTAAAAAAAGCTAGGTGAACTTCACTTTTTTTTAATAACACAAAATAAGGTACATTTTGGCAAAATTCAGTTATTTTATTTTCATTTCCTCATACTACCTTAAATGATTTGTCTCAATAAAGTATCTGTATCAATGTAATTCTTTATAAACTAAAATTTGTCAAATAGTATTTTTTTAACATTAATCAAGAACAATGATCTTTCAAACTTTTTTATTCATATTGTGAATATTTTCCTACATAAGATAAAGAAGACAAATTTATGGATTACTTCATAATGATTCTATAGAATTAATTGTATTACAGACAGTTTATTGTTTAAAGGATGTTCATAATCTACTATATAACAAAAGTAGCAATTCTACTTTGTCCCATAAACTATTTAAAGCTCCTTTTTTCATGAAAACATCTTCAATAAAATATGTGTAAAATGGATAAAATAAATCATAAAATTAATCCTATAAAGTACATGACACAATATAACCAGATCCATCAATAAAATCTTTTTTGTACATTAAAAGTCATCAAGGTGTTTTACATGTACACTTTAGCACTATAATGTAAATATGTTTTAAGCATTAAGAAATGTAAAACTGGGTGCAAAGGTAACAGTCATGATGGAAGCATCTTATTCAGAACTCCTGCCACCAAAGGCAATGACATGAAAGATCTCCAGAAGACAGCACCATGAGAGTATATGCTAGAAGTGTTTGTCAGAACTGGCACTGAGCTGTAATCTAGTTGAGCTGAATGAGTTTGATGAGAATGTTTCTCTTGTCAAGAAAGGCTACAAGACGTCTTGTTTTGTTGTGCTTGTTGCTACAAGAGAAAATTTAAGTTCTTCATTCTTCTCTTATGCTGCTGATGTTAATGCCTGCTTAAATGAATATTAAAATATTAAAATAAAAAACATCAATAAACTTTGGTTACAAAAGTATAAACAATCTTTACATTAAAGTTTGTATTCAAACACTTAAGGCTATTCCTGTATCTACATAGTTTTGTTATAAGTCATATGGATGGTACCAATAAAGTTTGACCTATAGTGATATGTTTGAACCAAAAGACCAATCTGCTGTCCAGAGACAATTAAGTCCAATATATTGCCAATCTAATTAAAATTATTTCTCTTCACTTGCTCTTATTTCTTATCGTTGTTGGAGCCAGTGCTAAAAACTAATTTTAATTAGATTGAGATATTTCAAAAATGTTCCTGGCCTATTGACCTAATGTCCCTGGCATCACTAACAGGAATAATTTGTTATTTCTATACATGATAAACAGTGATTTTCCTGCTTCAGTTGGACCACATTACTGGTCCAATACCCAAACTTATAAAGGCTTTAATTTTCCTAATATTCTGGATAAAAAAAAATTCAAAGTTGAAGTAACAAAAAACCTGAGTATTTCGAGGAGTAGACCACATATGATTATATTTTAAGACTAATTTTAGTCAATTTAATATGGAACACACCAATTTAAACTACTCTGAAAGTACTATTATTGGTGGGTATCAATTTTCGTGGTTTGAGTAAAAGTTACATGTTCATGGGGGTTCTTAAATTCATGGATTCTGACTCTGATGGATCAAAACTAATTTTTCATGAGAATTAAAAGGTTAAAAGTTGTACAGTTTAGGTTTTTTAAAGATTAAATGGGTTAAATCCTGTCTGAAGTTGTATATATAGTTCATAGTGCGTTTATTGATATTCTATGTATGCCCGCATCCATGTAGTCAAACCAACATGGGGATTATTCCATGTCTTGATTTGGACAGCAGTTGCCATTTTTTGTTGGACACTTAAATTGATGGAAAAAGCCATACACGAAAACTGGTACCCCACGAATAAAAGTATTTTCTCAGTATGTTCATTCCAGGTGAAATACACGTCAAATCTACCAAAGTAATATGATTACAATTACGACAATAACCCAGATAGTCAAATATTCTAAACTTTGAAATGAGTAGGTCTTGCATTAAGATGAAGCTGATGGTTCATCACTTTTATTGGCATTTAGTTTCAGTCATTTAGGAGAGAAATGCAGCATTACAATGATTTATTTGATATATATACGTACCATGTACTTACATATCATCAAAGAAATATATACTCTTAGAAACCTATCCTTTCATCGAGGAAATTGGATCTATATTTTCTGAGAAATTTATTACCTTTATTTCCTATAGCTTATGTCATGTCTATCTTAATCAGCAAATAGACACAATTAGATGCTTAAAAATTTACCAGAAGAATTTTGGTAAAAAATACAAATAAACTCTGCATATATGTGCAAATATGCATGCTATTTTGGCCAGAATTTAACATTTAATTTAAGCCTGGAAATTTTAATTATATGATATTTAACAATTATTGATTTTTTGAATTATTTCATAGTGTTAAACAACATACCCGTCTCCTCTGTTCAACTTGAGCTTCTTGTTGACTAGCAGCTATAGCTTGTGCTAGGAGTAAATCTTCTTCTTCCTCTCTTGTCAGTCTACAAACAAATAAGTCACATTATAATTTTTAAAAATCTTTAAATATTTGTATCTAACATGAGGGATGGTATGCCAAAAAAAGTGTGTAAACCAACAAACCATATGAATATAATGAGATGTGGGGTTTACCTTAATGAACGAGACACCAACCTAACAACAAAAATAATTCTCTAGTAATGATAAAATATTTTACAATGAACAAATGTCAATTACTTATTGCTTAGTTACCCATGACAAAAGGTAGACTACTTCATGGGTTACAGACAGGGCTTCCAAAAAATATTTGAGTCACACGGACATTTTATACCTTATCCCCATTTTAATCCATTAAGACTATTAAAGTAACAAAAGGCAATTATGGTAATCAATTGGCCATCCCAATGATTGACATAAAAAAACAGATATTAAACTTTACTTTGATATAAATTCGATGTTCTGTTAACGTGAACTGTTAATTTTGCAGTGCATCATTTGAAGTGTGCAACATCAGTGTACTAATATCTGCCTTAGACTCTTTATTAGTGCAAAATAACATTGTCAAAAACTTAACTTTCGTTTTTAAAAGCACATTTTCCTAATACTGGATGTTGACATGACAATGGTAAAACATGGACCAGAGACGGATACGTAAAATCCTTGTACTTTCACAAAGCACGACTGAGTGTAAGAAGCTCTTTCCACGTTATTTCTTCAAGAAAATACTCGAAATGAACATTAGATACAGGTATCAATGATAATTTTAGCATTTTTAAGGAAATTTGGGATGCATAATTAAATTTCCCACCTGCACACACGTGTACTAGTTCAAACAACGTGGTTCTGACGATTTTTCATTTAAAAACCTTTTTAAATTTTTCATCAAATCATATTTATAAACGTATTTCTTATAATTTTATCTTTTTGACTAAATTAATTAGATGCAAACCGCTGAAATGTAAGAAAATAACTTTGAATAGACCGATCAAAGTCTGGTACAAAATAGTTTACCTGTCACCTGAACAGGTAGATTTCAGCTGTCCGACAACTTATTAGCCTTGATTAAAATGAGAAGGTATTAAAGTATGGGTTGTTTTGATAGTACTTAATCATCATGTCACTTTTATGACCGGAAATGTGTGGCTGTTTAAGACAAAAGGATGGGTCAAAAACATCTCGAATTATGTTTAAATGACCATCTCTTAAGAAAGCCTTGAACACTAAAAAAGTAGATGTCTGTTTCATGCTTTTCCCAGGCGGACAATGTCCTGTAAATTTATAAATGTCCGGAATATATGACCGTTTTGGAAGCCATGGTTACAGATACATGTAATATGAGCATTAAAATATACAACTTCTGTTCTATTAGCCAACAAAAAAAGTAATAGTGAAGTCAATGTTGTAAGAAATCTACTTATCTTATAAAGACAAGTACTTACGGTTTTTGTGGAGCAGGTGGTTGTCCTTGTGATTCCTGCATTGACATCTGAATGGCATGAGCTAATGCTTCATCTTCAGTCTACAAAGAAATAGATGATAGAATATTTATAAGATATTATGAAAATAAATCAATATTATTAACACAAATTACTATTACTACTTTTTTGTAAATTTTTTTTAGTTTAAAAACTATTTTCATGCATTTTCATAACAACAGGGTAGTCAAGAATTACAGTTACTAGATCATTTCAGGTTACACAAATAACAATCATATCTTTGGCAAAAACTGGTGTCTATTTGTTAAAAAAACACAGTTTTTCAATAAGCAATTAATAAATTCTCATATCTGTTAACAATGTCACATATTAAAAGACATCATTGCTATTTGGGAATTTGAGACTCTTGACTTGAAATCTTTCAACACTTGAATAATTGACATCATATAACGATCAATTTTGTTTTATTGTATAAGATACTTTCTCTTTAGAATTTGAGTCTTTTTCAAAAGTGTCTGCGATATCCTGCAATGGCAGACTAATAGCAATAGGGAGCCAGTGTCTGTCCCAAGTTGGTAGTGTTTTTGTCCTTTAAAGGGGCATTAGCTGTTAAATTCATGAGCACCGATTTGACCCAAATTCTCATATTTTATTTATAACATACTAAAACGTATATCCAAATTTCAAAAAGTCCAAAACGAACATTAAACAATGCATGGGCTCACTATAATGTATCAGCATTTCTCATGTATTTTAGACCAGACGCCCTTTAATTATCCATTGATATGACCTCAGAAGACTGCCCATGATCATATAACCCATGTAAACATTAATATAGAGAGATAGCAAGCAAGTGCAATCAGATTTTTCTAGATATGTTTGATTTCATGTTAAAAGTTACAAATATATGTAGATTGTCTTTTTATCTGTACAAGAATAATTTAATTGTGAGCTGGATCAAATAACAAAATGGTTATTCCTAGTGTCTCCCTTGTTACACTTTTCAATGTTGCCTTACTTTTCTTTTTAATGAATGAACATGCTGACCATCACATGCTTAATACATGTGCAAAAATGTCAGACAAAAGGTTGCTTTTTAATTTAAATGAGTTGTATTATTGACTTGCAAGTAAAAAATACATCAGAGATGTTTTTAAGCTTATTTTGACAAAATTGAACCAAACTGATAGCGATATATATTTTTTCTTTATTCAGTTTTTATAAATCTTTGCAGCAACAAAAATCTTATTTTATTTTTTGGAAATTCGTAGCTAATGTCCCTTTAAGGACTTTTGTAACTATGATTATTTATTCAATACATAGTGGCTCATTCTCAAATATTCTTTGTTTGGCTGCCTTAATATTTCTGTCAAGTATGATTTTACTTTCAAAGAAAACTAAAAAAATCCCTGTCAGAGTTGTTTTATACTCACCATTCCACCTTGAACTGAATTAGTCGTGTTGTTGACTGTAGGTTGAGATTGTCTTTCCCTTCTGTCTCTTAAATAGAAAATAAATAATAAATTTCAGCCTTTGTTTTCTGACACCAAATATTAATTGTATTTAAGTTTATAAGTAACCTATAACTAAAATAAGAACATTAAAACTAAAGTGAGCATGACACTATATTACTACAGAAACATAAAGTAGTATACGATTATTTGTAAAAACACCTATCTATAATGAAGTGATAATTCTACAATAACTAATCCACAAATCTGAATGGCTTAAAATATTCAACAAGTGCGTGAACAACACAGTAATCACAAGGAAGATTTTGAATTTTAATTTTACCATATTTTCTGATTCTCATTAATTTCTATAAAAGTATCTCCTTGAAACAAGGTGCATAAGAACACTAATTCAACATTTATACTAATGGGGCAATCATTAAAATTATAATTGGAATTTATAGATTAAGGTGGTACCAAACACCTTGTCTAAAATTAATTTGGCTCGTTTAATTTTCATAAAATTTTGACAAAATATTTACTTTGACCCTTTGACAAAAATATAAAAATTTCAAAAAACTTGAACCACACACTTTATCAGAAAATATTCATTCGATATATAGCAGTTTGACAAACACTATCTTTGATCATTGAGAAGCTTTATATTGCCTTAACAATAGAACGTGATTAAAACGTTCAGCTGATTTTTACAGAGTTATCTCCCTGTAGTGTTATGTACCACCTTAAGGATGAGAAGTCTCCAGTTATCTAAACATATTGTACCTTACTAAATCTTTTTATCTATACATATTGTACCTTGCTAAATCTTTTCCTATGTAAGCTAGCATTGTATTCTGAGGTTTTCCTTGGTTAGACTTTGGCATGTTAGAAGATGAAGGTTTTGGTTGATTGGAAGTTCCGGCTCTGTTTACTGCTGCTGCACTAAATAAAATAAAAATATACAGGTTACTAAGTTTAAGAAATGTTTAGGTTTATTCTTGTTTACCTCAATTTTTGATACAGATATTTGACCAATGTTAATTTGTGATTTATTCTTCTTCACTTGGAATATTCACCAGAAATTCAGAAAAAAAGTTCTTGGGAAAACAGATATGTAAAATATTTCAATTTTTGATAGTGACCTTGGACATTTTCTTCTATGTCTAAGTACTGTAAATTCAGAGATTATTGTGATTTTGATATGAGCAACCAAAATTTGATTGAATTATTGCCATTTCAGAAAAAGCAGCATACTTATACGCATTAATTAAAACATTGCAATAATTTCTGAACTATGAGCTACAGTACAATGTATGTTACAAACAATTGAGTTTGATCCCATGTCCAGTCACATCAAAGACTTTACAAGATAGGTTTGTGCTGCTCCTCCACCAATTATTGGGCAAAGACTGGTTGACTAAGAGTCACTCTACTAATAATTGGGCAAAGACTGGTTGACTGAGAGTCAATATATCAATTATTGGGCAAAGACTAGTTGACTAAGATTCACTCTATCAATTATTGGGTAAAGTCTAGTTAACTAAGAGACAGTCAGAATAATGTGTTCATGAAGTATATGTTTCCTGTGGTTTGTGAGCTCTTCTTCAGCATATATAAATATGGCTTAGTGTTGCAGAACAACATATTGTTTAAACTCATCAAAATCTCTGAATAGTTGAAAAAATGCCTGAGGATCTATCTGAGAAGTTTTTTTCTAATTCATACTTTGCCTTATTTAATCACAGGAATATCAAATCAGATTACCTACTTTTAATTAAACTAGAAATGGACAATGCCCCCCCCCCCCTTTTCTGCTCTGCCATATGCATGAGTATAGTTCCACATATTTTAGATTTGACAAACAGTGATGTTTGCATACAACTTGAAATTGTTACGCTGTCTGTAAGACACAAATGATGCCCCCACCTGATCATAGGAAATTATAAATGTAACACTATGTATGATGATGTAACTGTAGGAGGAGATAGCCGAACAAACCATGATCTCTTTATGCAGCTAGTACCAACAAAAATAATAAGTCCAACTACCTGTCATTTTCAGAATATTTGAAAAAAATCAAAATCTTGTGGCCATGTGCACCTTCATTGTGTGTATCCTACATCCTACTAAATATTAAAGTTGTACCTCCAAAACTGTAGGAGGAGATAGCCGGACAAACAATGTATCCTAATCCTAATCCTGACGGACGGACGGATGACATTTTGTCATGGGGGCTTAAAAAAATGAAAGACTTACGCTGCCTTTGACACTCCTCTACCAGTATCTTCAAATCCTTTACACTGATGATCTAGTTCATGTCTGTGTTTGAGACAGAAATTCTGGTGACATTTATCACAATTAACTGGAATTAACTGAAAAAGAATTCAAAATAATTTTCGGACTATACAAAAATATCTAGGATACAATGGGTGGTGAGACTAAGGAGTTGATGAAGAGAGTGCCAATGCATCTTTTTTTAAATAACAAAATTAAAAGTAAGAAAATATTTAGGATTATTGAATCTTGTGAACACACACACATACTTATTCATTAAAAACACCTTTTAAAAACGGGCTTTTACAAAAGTATTTGATGATGCCCTGAGAGCTTGAAAACAATAAATTCAATAAAATATAAGTATAAATAGTTGGAAAAATCAAAATTTGAAAATCCCAATATAGATCAATATAATATTTAAGTCTCTAAAATTACACAATGAAAATTAAAATTATTTCCTCTACCTTACAGAACATTCTACAGAATAGAGAAATATTAATAACATAGTTATATAGGCTAAAATAATTGTGATATATCTCTTTGACCCTTTTATTGCCAACCAGGTTGACATTACAGATGAGACTCTTGGAAAATTATGTATACTGTAATAATACTGGTTTCAATTTCAAAATGGAACCTACCTCTTTATGCTTGCAGCCTTTAAATGAGCATCTGTTTGTGTAAATCTGGAAAGAGAAAAATACAATATCAGTATAAAAAACAAATTAATTAAAGTAATTTAAAATCTATGTGTTATTTTATAACTGCAATCTTTTACAATAGGATGACAAAAAAAAAAATAGTTTTAATTTTTGAAATATTCATCAGGTCACATGTTTTGCATTATTAAAAACATCACATTAATTTCTATATGTTCTGTACATGTTCTTTCCCTAATATTCCTCCTGCTTGTACTTGTTTATAAATTAAATAACTCCTATTCAAGAGAAACTTTGTTTAGAGCACTGGTTCTTATTGGTGTAAATTTCATATGCATGAATGATTACCAGAGGAAATGTAAAAGGCAGCTATGACAGTTGATATTACTTCTATAGAGTCCATTTCTGAATATATAAGTAATCCAAGACATTTTTCGATAACTGATTGAATATGTTTAATCCTTTAAGTGCATCAAAACAAATCGTAAATATGTGTCCATTAAATATGATATCACTGCTGAAATGCCTAACAATATGACTTATACAATGTATCAGGAACATTTCTGTGTTTTGATTGGAAATTTTAAATGAAATTAAGTGAAAGTAGACATATTGAAAAGTGGAATATACGGGTAATTGTAATACAAGTTTCATAGAATATTTCCTTTTCTTTCAATCTTTGCTTAAAAAATTTAATGTTTCTCCAATAGCCCAGAAGACTATTTTTCTTCACCTTTCTTCTTTTCTTTGCCAAATCTGACTGACAGTCATTGTCTATATGTCTCCCTACTATAACATCTGGTAATTCTCCTTTCTTTACTGCTATAGGACTATTGCACAGTGGACACACTGGAACCTGATTGTCCTGTGATGATAAAAAAAAGTTTATAAAAATAGACTAGCCATTCAATTCAACCATTTTCAGTTGTAAATAAAAATAATATAGCCCTTTCATACAGCCATGGCACATTTGTACATGTTTAATGACATCTTTCTTTATGAAAACCATATGTTTATGCAATAATTCTATGCCTACGACATGTTCCTTCACATATCTTGATGAAATTAAGATTTTGTTAAAAAATAAGAAAACTTTAATGATTTGCATCACAGGACATTTATTACAATTAAATTAATCAAATGAACAAATTTATGCACTCTCAACATGATAAAATTCTATATCAAACTGTATATTCAAGATTCTCTGGAACTTATTCACTTGAATTCCTTTAAATTTGTGAACTTTTTGAAAACTTTTTTACACTCAGAATTTGTTATTCTCAATGGTAAAATAGGTATACACAATTCTATTTAAAAAAATTTTTTGTTCAATCATTCATCAAATGAAAGAATGAAAGATTTACATACATCTTATTTTTAATCATATTTTGATCTTATTCTTGACAAGAAAGTTTTAATGCATAAAAAACTTACATTTCATAAATACAAATACACATGCTTTAGTTTTTCCTGAGGTTACAAGTCTAACCTACATAGAGGTCTATTTCTTAAGTAAATCTCAAAGATATCAACAGTACAACAAAGTTCTACTTTTCCACTGTTTAAAGATAGAACATTGAAACAACAGAGTTTTGTGCTCCTGGATACCAGTTTGAAATCCATACTTAATCAAATAATTTGGATATACATTTTTAATCACATAATATGTAAAAGGTCATAGATTACAATTATTCAATTACATTTAAATAGTTGAGTTTGAATTAAAAAATACAACCCATTTTTTCAGCATTTTTTCCCCCAAAAATGCCAAAACAAAACACAGCGATTGATTGATTATTGGTGTTTAACACTACTTTCAAACACCATAGAGTATGGTCTGGACATTATTCATGTGTACATGTTTTCACTTAAAATCTAAAACACTAAATATGATTTTACATTCCTTAAAATTTGAAGAAATGTGTTTTAAGAGTTGAATACAACTGTAATAAAGGCTATTTTGAGGGAGTTTATTGATGTTTAACTCACCATTCTCTCTCACAAACTAAATAAAGTCTGAAGAAAGACTTTTTGGTTGCTATACACTCAATCAAGTAAGAATGAAGATACAAATTTGGAATAATGATTAAATAATGTACTAATTGATAGCAAAACCAATGCTTTAAAAGATTGAACAATGTTGGAAGTAGATTTAAAACAACTAAAATCAAAATAGACTTCATTTACATATAGTTGTGGATGTCAAAATGGTTTAAGTATATGTTAGTTCTCATATAGAGAGATCAGTTTCCACATTTTTTCAAGTCAATTAATCATAGATATAAGAAGATGTGGTATGAGTGCCAATGAGACAACTCTCCATCCAAGTCACATTTTGTAAAAGTAAACCATTATAGGTCAAAGTACAGCCTTCAACACGGAGCCTTGGCTCACACCGAACAGCAAGCTATAAAGGGCCCCAAAAATGACTAATGTAAAACCATTCAAACAGGAAAACCAACGGTCTAATCTATATAAAAAACGAGAAACAAGTAACACTTATGAACCACATCAACAAAAGACAACCACTGAACATTAGGTTCCTGACTACCTACATGTAATTACTTTATAATCTTACCTTTTTATAAGACTCTGTACATTCATGTGTATTATAATGTATGTGGTCTCGACTGAAATATAGAAAATGGAAAAATGGAAGATCAGTGAAATCTAGATGTACATGTAATCATTTGGATTTTACTTTCTGTTCATAAAAGTTAAAACTTTGAAATGAATCTCTTCATTTTCGTGTTTTTATACATTGTACATAACTTAGAATTGATGATCGTAGATCAATTGATGTCTCTGTTGATTTATTCACAAGGTTGAACCATTTCGATAAATTATGGAAGTATTAGAAAATGTCTTTAAATACATGTATTAACTTAGACATTTATAATTACTAGCATTAAATTGATAAATAATATCATTATATTTTCTGCTGTAATATTCAAATATATACTTATTACTGAAGTTAGTAATTTGAATCTGATCTGAGGATGTGTGTATTCCTATTTCATGGTACTTTAAGAGATCATTTACAGTACACATTCCATATTTTAACACAGACAGAAGGGGTTAATATTCAGAGCTCTTTATATCAAGTGCATGTCTAGTCATTGTATATGGACAGAGAATAAGACATAAGTTTTTGTCACTATTGGTTTCCACTAAATATTCATATAAAAACTCAATTTTTCGAAAAAAAGTATTGTGGGATCATTTCTTGTCGAACATCAATCATCTTGACACAACAAGCCATTTATCCATTTCTATATTTGGTTATAAATCTGATGTAAAGCATTTTCATTTTCCAATCATAAAAACATTTGTATTATGATAATATTTTAGTCGTGTTCATTTGTCCTACATGTCCTCTGAATATCATGAATATAATACAATTTTTAAAATTTATTAATCCTTACCAAAATATCTTTCCACAGGCATCACATTTCATAGGAAGAAAATCTGTAATAGAGAGAAAATATATTTCACTCTTCTGTCATGAAATAGAAGTTCCTGCATAACATAAGTTCCAAATGGAAGAAATATTCTGTAATATTTATTCCACTGGAACACATATTACAGTATTTGTTCCCAGCACCTTTTCTTCAGTAGTTGTCATTTGTTGCTGTATAATCATATTTGTTTTTTTATGTATTGTTTTGTACATAAATCAGGCCGTTAGTTTTCTCATTTGAATTGTTTTACATTTGTCCTTTTCGAGGACTTTTATAGCTTACTATGCTGTATGGGTTCTGCTCATTGTTGAAGGCTGTAAGGTAACCTACAGATATAAATGTCTTCATCATTTGGTCTCTGGTGGTAGAGTTGTCTCATTGACAATTATACCACATCTTCTTATTTTTACATTGTATCTGCATTTTATATCTATCGTAAAAAAAAAATAATCTGTGCATTCAAATATTTTAAATCTTTCTTCAGAAATTACGAATCCCCTTCCCTCCCCCATATTAAGCTGCATTAAGGACTGAGAACAAGAACTTAGCAAATAATATAAATATTGACAGATTTTTGATAAAAATCCAAACAACATTTTCATAATTATTTTTTGTCAACCTCTAACTGGCATGACAGGCCAGTGGCAGTACGATATTTTTTCTTTTCAAAGAAATAAAAGCCTATAAACAGAAAATGTCCACTCACGTAGGTATACTATTGTACTTGTGTCATGATCTGTTCTATCGGAGTATCTCCATCCCCCTTTTTTCTTATTTGCAGTAAAAACCCTACATATGTTAAATATACAGCCTTTTCATGTGTATAACTTACCAAGCTGTTTGCATTCTGTTGCGTGACAACTTTCTCCAAGTCCAGGAAGTTCCATTTTGCGTGAGAACTGTTCTTACTTACAATTTTACTAAATGTCTTATGATGAATATGCAAAGTTAGGAGATTTCCTTCTATTTATTGACATTCATGATTACGTCAGTTCCGTTTAGCCTCGTTTTCACTACATAGGGATTGTTTTAAAGTTAGATGTTGGCGAGCAATGAATTTACATATACAGGTGATCTTCCAAATGCCTTTTCTGTCTTCTTTTATAACTGTGTAGCATCTTTAACCAATTCTTGTATTACAATGATCTCAACTGAGAGGTAAGAAAATACAATAACCAAGGAGAATTATCTTTTGAAACGTTCCCCGTATATCTTAAAATAGAACATTTTCTATAAATAATTTATGGGATTCCAGAAAGTTCAGGAGAATTTCAAAATTTGAAACTCACGATGAGATTATTTATACATAGGATATAGGATAGGATAAATTAAAGGATCAATCATCAAAAATTTACATTTCATCCAAACTAAAATTTTATCAACAATTTCATAATTCAAATCAGCGTAGTTCTTATGTTGATGTTCTAAGTAATCATCTCTGTGTAAAATAAGATTGAGTGCACACAATCTTGCTATAGAAAAAGGGCGACATTTAGGTTTACCCACCAATGAACGAGTTTGTAATGTATGTAAATCGGGTGAGGTAGAAGATGAAAATCACTTTTTACTGAATTGTGAAAAATTTTCTAACTACAGAATAAACTTTAAAACTATTATATTAAATATCTTCCTACAAGTTGTAGTGAGAGTCAGCTAAATATGAAACGTTGCATTAATAGCAACTCTTTAAAAGTCCTGAAAGTGACAAGTTCTTATATACATAAATGTCTGGTATATAGAAATGAGATTTTGGCTTCTTTATTATAACATAGTATTTCATTGACCTATAATTCAGAAGTAACATATTTAGATACATATATTTCTTTTCATAGAGCCAAAAACAGAGCCTTATCTTCAGGAAAACAAATTAATCAACTTGATTTTACAGACAAAACTCCTATTGAAAATATGCATCTTAAATTTTTTAAATCTACTCTAGGAATAAGAAAAAATGCATCCAATTTAGGAGCAAGAGTTGAATTAGGAAGATTGCCTATAGAATGTTTTATTAAAACACAAACCCTTTTATATTTAGCTAGACTATATAATAATAATATTAATCCATTGATAAAGGAAGCTTTTTCTCTAGCACAGTCTCTAGATTTGACTGGAACTTATTCATGGTATACATATGCAAAAAATATTGTTGAAGAGACTAATATTGACCTTAATATTTTTTCTAATTGTAAGGACATAAAAGATGTAAATAAAATAAAAAAACGATATAAAGTTAAAAATGAAAAATAGATATGAAGATTTAATTGAAACTAAATTTGAAAACATTGATGATAAAAGTAAATTTTATCTATATAAAAAACTTAAAAAGGATTGCAAACTAGAATCTTATCTAAATATATCTAATTTTCAGATAAGGAGATTGATCACTAAATTTAGAATAAGTGATCACTCCCTCTTAATTGAAAAGGGGAGATATTTTAAAATCCCAAGAGAGGAACGACTTTGTCATAAATGTAAAATACTAGAGGATGAGAAACATTTTTTACTCTATTGTGATTATAATAAAACACTAAGAAATGCCTTTTTTGAACACATATGTACTGAAAGTAATAACTTTAATAATTTAAATGAAGAAGAAAAAATTCATTATTTACTAAATCCATCAACGCCTTTACAAACAAATAAGTTAGGATCCTTCTTGAAAAAGTCATTAGAACTGAGGGCAGAGGACTCTTAACAACTTGTTTGTTTTTATAAATTTTGATGCTGTTTTTATTGTGTTTGTTTGATATGTATGTATGTATGTTTATTGTGTTAATACATGTTGGTCACAAACTGTAAAGTTTATAAGACAATAAAATATTTGATTTGTTTTGATTTGAATTATGCTGTATTCATTGTTATAATGTACTGAAATATGGGCCTTTGCCAATTCTTGTAATTGTGTTTGTGCCAATAAAATATTTATATTGTACATCATTATATGTCTCTGTTTATACAATTTTATTATTGCGAGAATGTATTCTTGTACTGACAAATTTCAATTTCACATATACTTTTAGCACAATAAATCATTTGTAATCACAGTCTCTTGAATTTCTGATAATAACAGAGACATATAATATACAATATATAATTGTATTATATGTCTCTGATAATAATGATCAATAATTAATGTAATGTATTGTTTAATTGATTGATTGGTGTTTAACGCCACTTTCAACACTATTGGGCTATTTCGTGGCGGTCAGTTTGTATTGGTGGAGGAAGCCGGAGTGCCCGCGGGGAGAACCACCGACCTTCGGTAGGAAAACCGACAATCCTAGTCATTGGAGTCGAATGCAATCTGCCCCGTGCGAGATTCGAACTCACAACCTCAGTGTTGACAGGCTAGTGATACAGTAGTTCGACTACTTAGACCACTCGGTCACCGAGGCCCCTATATTGTTTGAGAATTAGGACCAAATACTTTATTTTGTTCTAAATATTAAAAAATAAATAAAACGTAAATATGCAATTATAACGTACGTAGTGTAGATTATATAGTATTAATATACGATGCGCTTTTTTCAAATTTTCCATCATTTATTAGATTATGATTGCCAATTGTTGTTTGCTTAGAGTTCAGAGGCTAATATTTCATCAATATCTAGGACGAGAACAAATTACCACAAAAATCAAATAAGAAACTTCTACAAAGTGGGCCGATCGGTAGGCGCGGGGACGAATTTCTACTGCCACTGTAAATAAGGGTATGTTGGCCGGATAGAGCAACCTTGCAACAGACCACCTAGAGTTGTTGCAAGTGTTCTTTGACGTGAAGAGACTGTTTATTGAATTTATTTCAGAGAATGACCGAGATCAAAAAAATTTCAAAAGTTATTTTGAGTTATTAAGAATCCACATATTATGATTGACACTACGCGAGTAAACAGTATCAAGGTACTTCTGTAATTCCTCTTTCATTACGAACAAAATGTTGGTCAATCTAACGGTCAAATGTTTTTACGGCGTTTTGTGAAGTGTAGGTATCTAATACAAACAAGGTAAGTACTCGCGTATGTTGCTCCATGGAATATTCAATGAGGTCATGAATTAATTGTGATTGAATTGTCAACGGATCTTATCCCTATCAAATGTTTTTTGTACGTGGGATGACCCTAGCGTTCAATTATTCCTACTTCTTTGATAAGACACTTGTACAAGTAGTACTTACAGACAAACACAATATTATTCAAAGCTTTGTCCGCAGAAACAACAACATAACTATATGGGTCATTTTCAAAAAATGTCGAATTTTCAGTACACCTATACTAAAATTTTTATTCATAAAGGAAAATGCAGTTGTAAGTGTTTAAATGAAAGTTTGTAGGATTTATGAGTCGGAACATCAATAATAGACACGATCCAGATCTATTTTGAAAGATTAAAATATATGTGAGTCCTATTTTTGCTTAATTTCTGTGCGTACAGTGTCGGGGTAACACATTTCAAATGATTTTTTCCCTATTTTCTGGTTGCCTTGCTATTTCAAAAGGATGTTAGAATGTTTATAATAACTTTAACGAAAAATCACAGCTTCTTTATTATTCTATGAAACATTTTTTTCTACAAACTAAATTCAATCGGCGTACATGAAATGCATGTCTATCTTTTTATCGCTACTAAATCAAACGTTAATTTTTTCTCCCTATGAATATGGAACTATGCAGTGATGATTTCAAAAGCATAAAGCTTCCTACAAATTTAACACAGCGCGTTTCTTGCATAACAGTGTAGAGAAAAGAAAATTCAAGACATTTAGTGAAAAATAAATAGTGGGTACCCTTTTGTCATGTCTGTGCTGTTACCAACATATTTATTAATTACACCAATATTATACTTGTAAAAAGTGTAATTACGTGTATGGAACCAAAATCACAGGAGAAAAACATTATCACTTCATCAAAGGGAGTAGTTATTTCATAAAAGCATTCATAAATGAAGAAATTTGTCTATCCTGTTACTATGGTTAATAATAGATAAATATACAGCAAAAAAATGCCGTTTTTATTCTAAAATCCTGAAACTTTAATAAATATTAATTATTTCCAAAGAATTGTTATACAAATTTAGAGCATACTTATGTAAAGAAGATTTTCCAAATGTTTTTACAAAAATCCGCTTGTGTTTATCTTTTGAAACAAAAAAGTTAGGTGTGTCTATCCAAAGGATAGAAATTTCCCCAAGAAATTTGAGTAAATGTCTAAAATTTCGACCACATTTATCTCTTAAAGTACCACATATTTGAATTGACTAGGTGAAAAATAGCTTGTATGCAAATTTTCGTAAACAAATCACCGTGGAATCAAAACTGTATCGTATGCCCTTGAAGGTTACAACGTCTTAATCTTCGCAATTTAGCATATACAAATGCAATACGATACAAGTTTTGATCCTACGGTGAATCTTTGACGAAAGTTTGCATACAAGCTATTTTTCACCTAGTCAATTCAAATATGTAATAAAAAATATACCTTCATGTGCTACTTTTAGGAATTAATCGGGTAGAAATTTTAGACATTTACTGGACATTTCTATTCAATGGAAAGATATACTTAACTTTTTTGTTTTATAAGATAAACACAAGCGGAGTTTTGTAAAACATCTGGAATATCTTCTCTACACAAGTGTGTTTTGAGTTTGTGTAACAATTCTTTGGAAATAATTCATTTTAATCATATTTTCATGATTTTAGTAAAAAAAACAAAAAAAACGGCATTTTTGGCTGTATATTTATCTAATTTAAAAATATTTCATCCGTGATTTTGTTCTCCAAAAATGCCACAAACGCTTACTCTTATGTACTTACTCATACATATTCAAGCCTAATGTCATTTTTAAAAAGAGGGGTCCATGAACTCGTTTTCAAGTTAAATCAGTCTGAATGATAAAAATCAGTCGAAAAATGTATCTTTTCTCGATATGTCACAGTTTGACGTCGAAGAAAATAACATTTTACGTTATAGAAATATTTTCGCCGATTTCAAA